ATGATTTTTGAACCTTTTAAAGATGTTGAAATCAATGTCAAATGCAGTGATGTTTAAGACAATCATGGGTAAGATTAACGAAAAGTCTTGTGAAGGACAATGGATTATATGAACAAATAATGTGATTTAACTTCCATGAGTACAACTGCCAGTTTGACCTAGAATACAATTAAGATGCCCCTTTCATAAATTTTCTCTCTTTCTTTCTCTCTCTCTCTCTTTCTTTTTCTTTTTTTTTTTTTGTGTTCAAAAAGAAATTGATCCCATTTTCACAAATGAGCAAATTCCTCGAGAATAGCTTTGTAAGAATCAAGTGGAATTTTGAGTTTTTCAAAAATCAAGATTTTGGCTAGAGAATGAAATTTTCCTTCCCATGAAATCTCAACTTGTTTGCCACATTTATTTCTATTCATCTTCCTTCTTTCTTCTTCTTCTTCTTCTTTTTTTTTTTTGAGAAATATCATACTCAGATTCAACAGCTTTCAAATTCTCTGATAAGGGCTTTGAATAAGCTTGTATCATGGTCTAGGGCTTGGCTAATTAGAAAGAAAGGACATATAAGCTCAATGATAAAATCCCTTTTGTCCCCCCTAATTTCACTCTTCACACCCCAGGTTCTTGATGTAGGTACATTCAAAGAAATAATCATCTTGGCTTTTCTATTATGATGATTGCCTTTTCTTTTGGCTCAAAGTGGGTAACTAAGGTCAACTTTAATGTTTGGGAAATAGAAACAAGGCCTTTCGTCATTGAACCTAAAAGCTCTTTTAACCTGAGTATGATTTGCTATCTCTAGTTTGGTGATTGCCATCATAAAAATGTCTACAAATATCCAATCCTCAAAAAGGACTTTTATAGATTGTTATAGGGCTTAGATGTGGCTATTGAAAGAATAGTCAATATGAGCTCGAAGTACCCAATTTGCCCCCCAATTGCATGCCATGTCTTAGAGAAAATTTTCTTCTCCTTTATTGGCTCCTTTATCCCCACTTTTCTTCTTCTTCTCCTTTTTTTTTTTTTTTTTTGAGCTTTTTTCTTTCTTCCTTTCAAAATAATTTTACCAAATCTTCCAATTAAAGGAACATTTGCCCCCAGTTTGGCATGCAACCATATTCCCAGGTTGTTGAATTGGTCATGAAGGAATGTTCATTAAAATTAAGCTCAAAGTCTTTAACTAAAGATAATCTTTCAAGGTTTAGGGAATAGAGTTTCAAAAAGGAAGGCCTTCTGTCCTTGGATCTTCTACCATAGGCATCAAAATGATAACAATCACCTAACAAAGTTAGCAAAAATTCCACCATTTTTGTCATCTTCTT